AATTTTGATATAAAACAAAGTCAAACGAATGATATTCGGTATGGTAAATTTAATTTTTTTTTTCATAAATTTTTTTTTTTTTACTTTTTGGCAATAAAAACAAATTTTATAACCAATTGTGGAAAAAATTATCACTTTAATAGACAATTTTGATGCAAACGAAGTCCAAACGAACACAAAATTTAAAAATTTTTCAGGTGGAAAATTATACCAATCAAACACACTTAATTAAGAATTCTCTGGAATTCATTTTCTAGGCAATTACTTGCTTTAAAATTCATTTTCTTTCCACCTATTTTCCACACTTGCAATCAAATGGACTCTTATAGTAATAATACATAGAAAAGACATTTATAAAAATAAAATGTTGGATAAGAATCTACTGTGGAATTTCAAATTTGTCGCATCTTTCAATTAACTTCCATATTGGCTGCGGGAAAAAAACTAATTTAACCGTTTAACCATTTCCATTTTCACAGTTTCACCTCGCCTTAATCTACGCACGGGCACAGCTCAACATTCAACAACAATGGTGGACCCCTCAATTCACCTTATCGGCCATTGAAGTCAACTCCTGTGTTCCAAATTTCCTTTTCCCCTTTCCCAGAACCTTCTTTCTCTTTACCTTCTACTGAGTAATCTCTTCCTTGGCTGCTCAATGACTAGTTATGTTCTTCATTATCAACTCCATTTCCCTAAACCCAACTCCCTGCCCACCTCAAAAGCTCAATGGCAAGCCGCCGTAGAATAAAGCAAACCTCCTCTAGAGTTTTGTGAATCGTCGTTATAAACCCATAAATTCAATGCTGCGTATTTATTATTTTTTGCTGTTTTTATCAATTTTGTGCCAAGTATTGGTTCCCTCTACCTCCAGCCGCCGCCAGCCTAACCGGGGCCTCCTCCAAAACGGTAATGACTCCACCCGGTGCCCGTTAGACTTTGGTGTTTTACGGAAAGGCAAGATGCCCAGTAACGTGGATAGCCGATCGGAATGCCAATATATTAAACAGGGCATCCGACTCGTTGAATCTGAGTACCTCAGAGTTACTAACTCGTTTCTCCCGCCGCCGGAGTCGGCCGAATCGTGCTGGGACTCGTATGAATCGCTGGTTAACGAGTATGAACCCAACTTCAACATACGCCGTCGGTGTGGCTTCGAGACGACATGGATTGCCCATGGCTGTATGAACATCACCACACGATCCGAATTCGAATCCGTTATCCCGCGAAAGGATCTCGACGACATCGTTTCAGCATGTAACCAGTCCCTCCTCAACAACTCCCCTTGCGCCACGTGTACCACTGCAATTTCCAGGCTTCAAGCCTCGTACCTTACTGGCCCGTCAATCGGGAACGTCTCAGATTGTACGGCCTACCCTTTTATTTACGTCGCGGCTTTTGCAAATCTCCAAGGGCCCACCAATGAAGGTACAGCAAAGTGCTTGTTTAATCTCGATTTTACATCATCCAGTTCGAGTGGTAAGAAGAAAAAGGTTGTAATTCCTGTAAGTGTGTCGATTACTGTGGTGGTTTTGATAGTGGGGTTTTTAGTGTTTTGGTTTTTCCGACGGAGAGGGAAGAAATTTTTAAAGCCAAAGCCAACAAATGTGACGAATGAGGTTAACGCAAGTTCTGGGTTGGATTCGATTAGAGGGAGTACTACGTTAATTAGGTTCAAATTTGATGAAATTAAGGCCGCAACGAAGAATTTTTCTAGGGATAATATAATTGGGAGAGGAGGGTATGGGAATGTGTACAAGGGAGTGTTACCAGATGGCTCTGAAGTGGCATTGAAGAGGTTCAAGAATTGTTCTGCTTCTGGTGATGCGAGTTTCACACACGAAGTGGAAGTTATTGCCAGCATTCGACATGTGAATTTGGTGGCTTTGAGAGGGTATTGTACAGCGACAACCCCTTATGAGGGTCACCAAAGGATAATTGTGTGTGATTTGTTGAAGAATGGGAGTGTTCATGATCATCTATTTGGGTTGGTCGAGAAGAAGTTGAGTTGGCCTATACGTCAGAAGATAGCGCTTGGGACAGCAAAAGGTTTGTCTTATTTGCATTATGGTGCACAACCGTCGATTATCCATAGAGATATTAAAGCGAGTAATATACTCTTGGACGAGAAGTTTGAGCCTATGGTGGCGGACTTTGGATTAGCGAAGTTTAATCCAGAGGGATTGACTCACTTGAGTACTAGGGTGGCTGGGACAATGGGATACGTGGCACCTGAGTACGCGTTGTATGGACAATTGACAGAGAGAAGTGACGTTTATAGTTTTGGAGTTGTACTTCTCGAGCTTTTGAGCGGGAAGAAAGCGCTGATGGCAGTTAATGATGGTCAGCCTACACTCATCACTGATTGGGCTTGGTCTCTGGTTAGGAATGGTAGAGCATTGGATGTCGTTGAAGATATGCCAGACTTGGGTCCTCCGGTTGTTGTAGAGAAGTACGTGTTAGTGGCTGTTCTTTGTTCACATCCGCAATTATATGCTAGGCCGACAATGGACCAGGTTGTTAAATTGTTGGACACTAATGTACCAGTTCCTTCGATACCGGAAAGACCAATATCTCTCATTGCAAATATTGATGATATCGAGAGGTTAGCAAGCAGCAGCGGTTCTGGTAAATTGTCGACGCCTGCTGGCTATCAGCCTTATACTTTTGATGAAGACTGTCCTCAGACACCCAAGGAAGATAATGAGAATTCTAGTGGTAGGTAATCTGTGAGGTGACCAACTGGTACTTAATTGACGATGTCAATTGAACTCCATACTGCAATTTGCTTCCTTGAAATTGCTATGTAGCTCATTCTTTTGTTCATTTAGATTTAGATAGATTCAGTGGAATTCTGTGATCTGGAATCACATATACCCTTTTGTAGGGCTGTCCGTGGGTCGGTTCGGTTCTGAAGATACCCGAATCGACCCAAAACTTTCGGGTATTTAATAAATGGACCCGTCGGGTCCAAATATAATTTTGGAACCGTTCGGGTTCGGTTCCGTTCGGTTCGGTTCGGTTCGGGTCGGTTCGGTTTCGTTCGGTTCCGTACTATGATCAAATTTTTTAATATTTACAGCAACACTACATAAATACAACTAATGACATTTCATTCGTAACTTTTACAAATTAACGTAGCTCAATTCAAAAACATATAAATAACTAGCCGTTCAGTAAGATTAATTCAGTGTATACAAATACCAAAAAGTAGATATTAATATTACAGCAAAACTATATAAAGTATATTCATTTGCTTCAAATTAAAATGGGTTAATGGGTTTTAAAAATGATTTGGGCTTTAAAATTAAAATTACGAAATAATCTGATTTATTTAATTAATTTGCTAATTTGTATAAAAAAAATAAAATAATTTAATTAATTCAATATAAAAAATAAAAAAATTATTTAGTTTCGGTTCTTATTCGGTTCTTCGGTTCTTGGTCTAGACCCGAGACCCGACCCAAACCCATCGGTTCTCGATTCGGGTACCCGTTCGGGTATTTAATTTATGAAGAACCGCTCGGTTCGGTTCGGGTTCGGTTTGGTCCGGTTCGGTTCGGGACTTTTGGACACCCCTACCCTTTTGTAGTGTAAATCGATGTTTACTATCAATGTTTGTTGTTCTTAAAAGAATTTAAAAAAGATCTGGATTGTTGTACAAGAGCTTCTCACTGCTGCTAAATCTTAACAAGTGTGTTTCTGCAACCAGAATGAGCTGTTGGTCTCATGTTTAGGCCAGCTTACTTTGGTTGGATGATGCTTTAATCTAATATATGCATCTAGAGGTGGGCCCGGCTCGACCCTTCTGGAGGCCCGAAAAAGTTGGAGGTTTTATATATAACGAAGATAAAAGGTGTAAACAATGTGTTATGTCATGGAAAAGTATAATACTATCTAGTACTAATGATGCTTAACACATTGTAGATGGCAGCAAGGTCCATTTTTAATTGTTCAATGGAGTTCATTAAACAATTAAATGTGACTGTTTTCTGCCCTCTAGACTTGTGCTAAGTACAATTGGTATTAGCTAGTATTACTACGTCGAATTGTACTTGATAGCGGTTCCTTGTCCAATCGGATAATGCTATTCATTACAATTAATCATCATCACTTTAGGTGGTAGCGACTCTCTCCTTCATTGTCTTTTGACTAATTTTATAAATCATTAATGGTGATTATCACCGGTTTAGGTGATAATGAGCCCTGATTATAATGAAAAAGTTCATTACCATTGAAACTTGTAATGATCGTGATTAATAATATTACTCTATCCTATCCAATTCGTATATTTGTGAAGTAGTAGTAATCTACGAATGGAATGATGAACGACTCAGCTATTTTTGTTGATATCATAATCTCTCTATTTAGTTGATAGATTTCCATATTTCACTCCTTAATTTGTGCAAGAAGTTTGAAATCTTACATAATTAGATCAAGTTTCCAAATTATCTTGGAAAATAGACTTAATAGTGATTGCCAGATTCATGCACATTGGTATTATAGTTAAAAAATAATCATCGCAATAATTAAATCTCTACCTTTTATACATGGCAAAATACTTGTGTCAACGAATCAAATTCAGTGTCAGCTAGACGTGTGATGGATAACGTAACTCTTCATACACACAAAAGGTAATCATTCCTTTGCCCTTCATTTATTTATATTCTTTTCAGAACTTTCATTTTGAGAGAGATTTCACTCTAAAAAAATTCTGCACAGTGATGGTATCAGCATCCGATCGTCGCCAAAGCCCAAATTGAGTTTTTTTTTTTTCGCCATTTTTGTTTATTCTTATGCATTCTTATGTGTTTATGCTGTCATAATCATTAAAGAAAAAAGGAAGAAGAAAATGTCAGTATTTTTCTGTGATAATTATGAAGATAATTCTTTTATGCAAATAAAAAAATAAACAACAAAAATATTATTATATTGTGAATATTTACTAGATTTTTTTGACTGAGTGCATGTTTGGGAAGTACTTATAATTGGTTTAGATTATAAAAAAATAAAATAAGTGAATAATAATTGTGATCCCACAAATGTGTGAATAAAAATTGTTTTGATTGATTATAAATGGTTTATAAAAATAAACAAAACATTTTAAATGAACTGAAAAGTGATAGGTGAGAGCTCCAACTTTGGTGGTAGGTGAAATATTTTGTCAATTTGATTGGTGGCATCACATGTACATTCTTTTATGAATTATTACATGAAGCATAAAAACTTAAAAAAGAAAATAATTCATTATTTCTCGACCTACCTCGCCTTTTTTCCCTCCATATCAATAACATCCCAATACACTATCGTAGGATTTTAAATAATTTGGATTGAATACCCCGTGATTTTTAAAAAGTGTATATCAAAAACTGTACTTCAAGAATATTAGTATAAGAAATTTAGTGGCATTAACAGAAAATTTCTTGTCAGAAATTGTACAGATACTCGCATGGGGGTGGGCCCCATGTGAATTAAATATGTGGAAATTACACAACACCCTATCTTTGGAGATATGAATTCTAAAATCAGGTGGGATATTTTTTCTTTCAAAAATCAGAAATTTTATTTTAATTAATATTTTCCCCAATTTCATCCCACCAAATCCTAATTACCGTCACTTTTTCCTCTCCATCTCCCTTCCCTCTCTCTTTCTCTACCTTCCCCACCTCATTTCCCCCTCCATCTCCCCCCTCCCCTCATCTCCTCTCTCTGTGAACGTTGGGGCAGCGGCGATGTAACTTCCCTCCGTTTTCGTCGGCGATGTAACTTCCCTCCATTCAAGCGACGTCACAGCCGCCCTCATGTCGTTGCGAGACCACCACTTCTCTCATCACCTTCTTCTTCTTCTTTTAAGGCGGCTGTGAAATGATGAGGGTTTGATGTGGGTCTTAGTGGCTGAGAGATGGCGAATGGCAGTAAAAGATCGAAAAAGATGGCAGTAGAGTGAAGGGGACGGTGTGTTGTGGTCTGGTTTGGTTTTGGTGGAGGCTATTAGTGGTTTGTTCGTTGATTTGGAGCTGTGAAATGATGGGGGTTTGATGTGGGTCTTAATGGCTGGGAGATGTGGGTCTTAGTAGTTTGTTCGCACTGCTGTCGGTGTCAGAGATGGGCGAATCGTCGGCTAGAAAAGAGTGATGCAGCGCCGACGAGATTTCTACCTGTTTTGGTGGTGGTTGAAGGTGGCAGATCTGATGGTTGAGGCCGGTGTGAAGTGGTTTTTGTGGTTTGAGTTTCTCTGTTGGCGGTGTGGTGCTCATCGCGATGGTGGTGGCAGCGTTACTGGTTGTGGTTGGCGGTGGTTGGTGCTTTAGTGGCGGGATAGGGCGTTGGTGTTATAGTGATGGTTTTGGTTTTTGTTTCCGATTGTGGTTCTCAGATTGTGAGGTGGTGGCGGTGTGGCGACAAGGTGGTTTTGGATTTTTAGTTTTTATTTCTGTTTGTGGTTTTCAAATCTGTGACGTGGCGGAGACTAGCTGTGACCGCATAGTGAACTATCCGTGACCTTAAAATTCTACAATTTGTGACTAAAAATTAATTTGTGACCTGTAATTTTTTGATCTATTACCAATAAAATAATCCGTGACCTATAAAATTATCGATTTGTGACCTCGAAATAATTCGTGACCTCCAAAAATTTTGATCTGTGATCGATAAACAAATTGTGACATATAAAATTTTTGAACTGTGACCTCGAAATAATTCGTGACCTATAAATTTTTTGATTTGTGACCTCAAAAATAATCCGTGACCAATTAATTATGTACCTGTGACAATTAATTGTATAATTATGACATTATTATAATTAATTAATTAAATCATAATAAATTTTAATAAAAATCTGATTTTTGAAATTCCAAACTTGTTTTCTTAATTTTGAAATAAGGGATACTTATCCTCTTACTTATGAATTTTTCCCATTAAATATTGTTAAAAAAAATGAGGCCCACCCCAATGTGTGTATTCTGTATGGTTTCTGTTTTTTCCTGTACGTATAGGTGTTCTCTTAAAATAAAAAAAATTGCTTAAATTTTAGCCTTATTTAAGTAAGAAGACAACTAGATTTAACCAGCAGCCAACCTGTAAAGGATCCATCAATTTATTTTGTACTGAATATGAACTGTATACATAGACATACTTCTGTCTTTTTTGGTAGCATCTTTTAATGATAATTTAACCTAGTTATCTTGTCAAGTTGTACATAGTGTATATGAATATTAATAGCAAGACATAGTGAATCCTTTCTAAAGCTCGACTTTGAGCCTTCCTTTAACGTGGCTTTGAAAGTGAAGGATTAACTCGAAATATTCTATCCATCTCTGAAAGGGAAGGTTAATTCTTCTCGTATCACTTTTATGCTTAAGTCACGAAAATTGTTTACTTGGCTTTATTTTCATGAATTAACAAGTTGAAAAAGAGTAGTTTGGAACTTTGGATGACTTAAAAGAAATTAAGTATAAATATTCCCTTAAGATTATGCTTTATCCATGGACTTGCTTGCTTTTCTTCAACACGTATCTTCTTGGTATTGAAGTCACCCCACGGAACTTAATTCCATTTGTTGTATAAAGTTTATCTCAAGTGGCACAAGTTGAATGCTTGATGTTTACCAAATTTAGATTTTTAAGCTTTTCGACCGTAACACCTTAAACTTCTAGACGAGAATTTACGTATTTGCTCCATCCAAAAACTTTTATCTCTTCTATTTTTTTATATTTCTTGTTTGAGT